AAGAGTGCATGTCTTGAAGAATAGGTAGAAATTAGGTATATAAAAAGAGAGAAATATCATTCCACATAGAAAACAATATGGACAATTGAAAAAGATGTTGAGTATTGATCAAGGACTTGCATATTCTATCTCATATCAAAGGTATAAAAGGTACAAAAATTAACTTCAATTTAGGAAGATTGGCACCAGCATTGGTATTTAATACAATTTACTTTTTACTAGGTTTGTCTGTGAGAAGTGTTTGTTGGCGAGGTGACCACATTCTAGTTGGAACACAGGACAGCGAAATTTTTGAAATTGTGGTACAAGAAAGAAATAAACCTTTCCTAATTATGCAAGGTCACTGTGAAGGTGAACTTTGGGCACTTGCTATCCATCCTACTAAACCTTTGGCTGTGACAGGAAGTGATGATCGTTCGGTCAGGTAAGCAAATTATAAGGTAATTACATAGGCTGGAATTTATCCTTAGATAAACATAAAGAAAATTTTTAAAAAATTTTAGATTAAATTTTATCAGCTCATGGTATAACAAATGAACATGGTTAATAGGTATTTAGAATTAACAAAATTAGCAACTATTAATAATATTTTGTTTTTTCTCTGAAAAATATATGATGTAGAATTTGTTTCTTATCAGAATGTTCAGAACTGCCTCTACCTTTTTATTTAAAACAGTGATATAATATTTCACTGAAATGGATATACTGTAATTTATTCAACTAATCCATTATTGATGGAAGATTAGTTTCTTCCAGTTTTGTGATTTAGTAAATACAATGCTTACAATGAAAATCATTAAAATGTCTTTTTGTGCATGTGTAAATATGAATATCTTTATGATAAATTCTTAGTGTTCAAAGGATATATGCATTTTAAATTTTGATAGAGAATGCTTTACACAGAGGCAGCAACAATTTATACATGTATCATTAATACATGACAGTGCCTATTTTCCCATACCCTTGCCAGCACTAATTATTACCCCAGAAGGTGAAAAATTATATCTTGTTATGTTTTGAAAATATGTATTTCTATCATACTGAGAGATTGTTTAGAAGATATTTGTATTTCCTTTTTGGTGATCTGTCTAAACTCTTTGCCTATTTTCTATTAGTTTATTACTCTTTTTCTCTAATTGATTTGAAATAGACTCTAGTAATATCTGTCTACATGTTAAAGAAATTAGCCCTTTGTCTATGACAATGATTCTCAAAGTGTGGTTCAGCATTACCTAGGAACTTCTAAGAAATGCAAATTCTCAGGCCTTTTCCAGGACCTAATACTAGAAATTCAGCAATCGTGATTTAATAAGCCTTCCAAGTGACTACAGTGTACACTAAAGTTTGAGAACTTCTGGTCAATGGTAGGAGTTGAGATTTTTTTTTCAGTTTGTCATTTGTTTTTTTCCCATTTCATCTGTAAATATTTCAGTTTGATCTTTAAAAGATAAGGCTAAACATCAATACTGTTACCACACAGCATTCCTTTAATATAATAAAATATCCAACCAGTATATATCTAATCCCTGATTGTCTCATAAAAATTTTTTATGATTTCTTAGGATTCAAATAAGGTCCGTATTGCAATTGTTAATGTGCCTTTTGTCTCTTTTATTCATTTTTTTAACTATAATATTTCTATAAAGAGAATTTCTTCTCATCAACTATTTGGTTATCCTGGGTACAATTTGTGCAGGAAAGGCAGAAAAGTGCTTAATTCTTTTGCTACATTTACTAGTTTTAAAAACAGTTTCCTAGAATCCTTTCTATGAATTGCCCATATTTCTTGCCATTTTTTCTGTAGGGTTGTTGATCTTTTTCTCCTTTTTCACAGCTTTTTATATATTATGAATATTTCATATAGCT